TTCATATTGTATTATCATAGTGAGGGATGCTGCTTGCGCCTTTTCTGTTTTCTGGGAACCTTACATTTTACAGGGGATTTTCTTGTTGATTAAGAAGTTGACAGGATCCATGGAAGTATTTCCCCCTTTCCTCCGTTTGTGCTCTCAAGGGTTGCCTCCTTGTACTATGTAACCTATGTTTTTAAAAAGAACAGGAGTACTTGTGGCACCTTAGAGACTAACAAATTTATTAGAGCATAAGCTTTCGTGGGCCACAGCCCACTTCATCGGATGCATAGACTGGAACATCTAGTAAGAAGATATACACACATACATGCAGAGAAGGTGGAAGTTGCCATACAAACTGTAAGAGGCTACTTAATTAAGATGAGCTATTATCAGCAGGAGAAAAAAAAATTCTAGTGTAGACCTGGCCTATATGATTCCACATTCAAGCAATCTCGTTACTTTCATTTAAATTTCAGTTAAATTAATTAAATTCAGTTAACAAATCTTTAGTTTGTTTAAAGACTTGTTGGAAACACCTCTATCAAATTATCTGAAATATCTCTCAGTGGAGTTTCTCCCATATTAAATTTCTTTTCCATGTTTTGCTGGTAATGCCTAATGAGTTCTTTAAAATCTGCATTAATATAGCTGAAGTTTGTCTGTTTGGCTTAATAAGAAGCTAAGAATAGGGGCTGTATGGCTCACTTAAAGGAAACATGCTGGAAGGCTGGCACTACATGTGTACTTTCTGAGCTGCCAGGACTTGGAGCACTATAATGGAGTTACTGTCCTTATTTCCAGGCTAACTTTTGCTACAAGTTACTTCCACAGTGCCCCACACAATAGAGTAATAGAGGAAAGACCAGAAGACCACTGATTTTGTATTGATCTGTTTTAAATGTTTAAATTTTTAAAGTCTAAAAACACTCTAAGTCTCTTTAAATTACTGCAGCCTATCTTTTGAACGTACAGGCTAGAGTGAACTGGACGCTATTCTTATCTCTGTATCTTTGGGGCTAATTTGTGTATTCAGTGTTGTATGCAAAAATAGGATTGTGCTGATTTACTCCCAGGGAGCAGATATGTTGAGTAAGAATGCTCCATTTTCAGTCTCTTTTCGGAGTAGAATCACACACTAAAAATGTGAACAAAATATAAACCAGTGCACTGGTGTCTGCCAGAGTCTGCAGTCAGGCTGAAACAGTTACTGAGTCTGAAATTCTGAAGCCTAACCATTAAATATGAGCATTTAACGTTTTCACTGATCACATGAAAATCTGCACAATATACTTTGTTGCATCTTACTTTAGCATTGCAGAGCTCAGGTTGTAGGCTGAGTTTGGGAGAGTGCCGTCAGTTATTTCTCTTCCCCATCTGAACCATGTTTGAGCTGTTTGTTTTTCTGGCATATTAGCCTTTGGTCTCAATGGGTATTATGAGCTTCATACAAATATAGGGAAAATACTTGGGATTATTCTTTCTACGTGCTTAGAAAATATGATGTACTAATTACCCTCCAGCAGAGATGATGGGGGCACTGAAGCAGAGAGGTCAGGACCTGTGAAGTCAGTGGGAGTCTTTCCATTTACTTCAGCACATTTTGGATCGGACTCTAAAAATGATTTACCCATGATCAGATCAAGTTAATAGCAGTGCTGGGAATAAAACTCAAGAGTTTCTGGCTCCAAGCCTGGTGCTCAGTCCATTAATTTATGCTACCTTTTGAAGAGTCAAAGCAACGATGGTAACTTGTAGTAAGTGCAATATTTTAATATTGTAGAATAATAAGAATGTTCATGCCCTTATTTAAAAAAGAAATCCTGAAGCACTATCAACAGTTAATTCATTTGACTGGTGATTTGAGTCAGTACCGGGTTTACAATGGGGCCGGGCCCCACGCTAAGAAAGGGCCGTGGTGCCCATACCGTGGCCCTGCCCCCACTTGGCCTCTTCCCCTCAAAGCCCTGCCCAACGCTTGCTCCTCTCTGCCCCATCCCCGCCTCACCCCCTAATCACGCCTCTCTCCCTCGCCCCCCCCCCCACCCGAGTGAGCAGCAGGCGTGGCTTCAGGGGAAAGAGGCTGAATGGGGATGGGGCCTCGGGGCAGAGCGGGGAGGCGGGGCCCACAAAAGGTTAATTCAGCCGGGGTTGAGTTATCTGTTTCAGTAGCCCTTACTATTACCCCACCCATTTATTTCAATTAATCTGTTTTCTCAGTTTGTAAAACACCATGAATGTAGGTTATCTTCTTTGAGCTTATGAGGTGATAGACTTATTTCTCTGTGCCAATGAGGGAAGAGCATCTTGCTAAAGCCAGAGTTTTTAGCTCTGAAGCAGCAGAGTAGAAGCCTTTTGCGTTGAAATCACATATGGGCTTTGTAGCCGCCAAGCTTTAGAGGCCTTGGAATTTGTGGGAAGAACCACAGAAATTGTGCATTTTGACTAGTTTATAAAAAACTAAGCTGTCAGTCCAATTGCTGTCATTAGTTTTGCACTCACGATGCAAAATCTAAGGTTGTGATAGTAGAGAAGAAAAACTTTTAGAGCTGCTTTCCAAAATGAATCAACAGATAAAATTGCATTTTATTGCATATAGAAAGTAAGAAACAATACCCTCATATTTTTAATGACAAAATATTAGCTGTAGTTTATTTGCAGATGCTTGAACCATACATGCTAAGCACCTGTTTTAAAAATCACAATTTCGAGATTGTCATACGTTTCAGTGTGTGACCTCAAGTAAATAGATAAATTTAGGTATAACATGTTTAGCTCCAGCAGTCTGAGGAAATACATAGTACACTCTTTTTTCCAAAGATCTGTACAGTAGATTTCCTTGATTTTTAGGTTAATGGGATTGTTTTAATTACTTAATAAAAAACATAGGAATACGAGGAAGCCAAAGTAAGATTGCCGTACTCTGGCAGTGAACGGTGTCCTCACTGGAACTGTATGCAGTGGGTCCTTTGTCCTGCTGGCTGGAAGAAAATGGAGGGATCCCTCTGCAATTGGTGGCAGAGAGGAGGAAGGGGGAAGTATACCTGGACAGGGCAGGGAGAAACAATAAGTGACTGGATTGGGCAAAAAGGGATTGCCCTTCCAGAGGATCTCACTGGCAACACCCACCCTCCTACCCAGGGAATCAGTAGAACTGGGTTTCTTCATGATCTACTGTGGGCATTTATGCTAATCAACTTTTTCCTTGGGGGCTGGAAAGGAACGGCAGAGTGGATTTTTCGTCTTCCCCACAGTGGCTCAGGGAGTAGTCAGGAACTTAGGTTAAGATGTCTCAACTTCGTAACTAAAAAAATGGGGTAGATGTCCAGTGCAAGTACTAGTTATGGAAGGGATATGGTTATTGGATAAATTGGACTGGAACGTGTATTCCCTGATATTTTAAGCGAATGAAATTGTGCCCAAACTAAACCACATTTAGTGCTTCTTGTTTTTCTTCCGGTGTGGCTACTGTTGTTGCATTTTTTGAAAATTATTTGTGGAGTAGAATGGCCACTGTGTGCTTGTAGGGAGGTGGTTTAGATGGAAATATTTGATTTTCATGGAAAATAATACAGATTTTAAAAACAGATTTTCAGTACTAAACATTGGACCTTGTTGTGCTTGAAAAAAAATTAAATGCCTCAAAATTGAAACCCTAATGGTAACAATCTTTGTTCTTGAAGTATACATGTGATGCTTCCATACCAACAGAAGTAGAATCAGAGGATTGATAATGGGATTTCTTAACAACCAAGGCCAGTAACCAGTGACCTAAATGTAAATGATTTTAAATGATTGTCATCTCTCAGCTGTTCAGGTGGGCTGATATGCTAGCTCTGTAGGAGGCCTATTTCCTCTTTTTTTGCTAACTGGAGCACAGTTGATAGCCCACTTCAGCTTCCCTAGACAGATATAATTGGGGCCTATTTATGCCCTTGCTATCTGATTGATCCTCCCACTGACTAGTGGAATAAAACCTGCCAGCCTGTGGAAGACAGAAGAAGATATGCCCTTAGACATCTTATGCCCCCAAAATATCACAAATTCAGTCTCCCGTCCAAGAAAACATAGTTGTAATAAACATGCAGCATACAACTTGAACTGAACTGTATATGCTAAAGGATCATTGTAGACTTATAGCATACCATAGCAGAAAAAATATAGATGAAAAGACTAGCATATACACCAGAAGCATAGGTTAATTAACTTTTCTTCCGGCTTGTCAGTAAATTGCAGAACGCTATGTTAAAACATTGAGGCAGTGACTAAAGGTCTGCATGAAAAACTTACAGTTCCTTTAGACAAAGTTTTGTGAGCTAGTGGAGTTCTTAGCAAGAAACATAAAACCCAAGAGCAGATGTGCCTTCAAAAACCTAATTACAAGTAAACTTCCCTTATTCCTATGTTGTGATTGGAAAACTGAGGCAGAAAGGCTAAATCATACTGGGAGGTGGTGGTAAAGATGGGATTAAACTTGGAAGTTTTTGGCTCTAAAACCTGCACTCAGATTATTATATTTAGCAATATTATATCATTTATGTAATGACCATAAGATTATCTGTGAAAAGTAGATCTGTGCTTTACAAACTTCTAATCTAAGGGGTAGATTATACGATTATTCATTTGAGTGACCACTGTGATTACTTGTGTGTAGATGACTCATGTGAGTTACGGTTGCAGAATCTGGAGGGAGATCATTGGTCATACAGCATGATACTTTCCCTTTTCTTCTTAACACTTTTCCTTACCTGTTTGCTTTCTGTGTATTTAATCCCTGCCTCTTTTCTCTGTGTGTCTTTACCATGGAGTGAAGTGAATTTACCATTAAAGTGAATTATACTGTCAGGTTGGATTGCTGATATTTGGACTTGCAGGGGAACCAATGTCAGAACCTTTAATAGAATAGTGAAATCATCTATCGAATACAGCTCTTTACTGTGTGGTTATAAAAGAACTATCAGTACCTGTGAGTAGTAACTATATTCTAATCATTCTTGGTGGTGGTATTTGTATAGGTTGTGGAGAGCACCTTGTAAGGACCATACTGGCCAGAGAATGTTCACGTGCTTTGCAAACAGAAGATGCCCACCAGGCTCTGCTAGAGACTATGCAAAACAAGTTTATTAGTAAGTATACAGTTCATCAGAAAACTGCCTAACCGTACATGTTTATCGTTTCTGTTTGAAAAGAAAAACAATCCATTGAAATATAATTGAAATTTTGCAATTCCTCTTGGAGCTACTTGGTGGTCTTGAAGCTGTAGACAGAGATTAAGTAATATGTTGTAATGTATTTAGTGAATGATAAATTAAGTCGCAGCAAAATACATACAGGAAAGGAAAATATATTCCTTGGTTGGGAAGTCATTGAATGTTAAAAGCCAGGGAACAGATAGTTTAGAGGGAGGAATTTTCTAGGTTGAATCACTAACTATAGTAAAGAGTGAATTTGTTAGGAATTAGTGGTTTAATTATCACAGAGGCTATAAAATGCTTCTTCCCATGCCCCCTTTTTTATGTAGTGGAAATTAAGATCCATGTTATTTTTTGATTAAAAATCCTGTATGTGGACAGATTCTGGTTTGTGAGTTAAATAATAATTTTTTTTCTGAAAAAGAAATATGGATTTCATTGAAGACAATAAATAGAAAAGGCAAACACTGATTGTTATATTTTTTTCTTCCCCCTTAACATAATGATTACCATTGTGGATCCTATTCAGTCATTCTGTGTCACATATTTTTGACTATTTTGTTGTGTGTATGGATGAAAAATATAAGTACAAAACTTGAATAAAATAAAGTAAGAAAACAAACGTCATCCAAAATTTGGGCATCAGATTTTCACCAACTAAGCAATTCTAGATAAACCTAGAGTCCAGGAGATACCATGGATTACAGTGAGACTTTTGAGATATGTAATATGTCAGGCTTCACTGTAGTCTAATCTTACAGCATTCAGAAACATAAGGACTGTTTAAGTTCCTAAGCAGTTGAGCATAGGTCATGTGTCTCTTAAGTGTGCAAGTACCTTGCTCCTGGGTGATGTGATCGGGGCAGTGACTTACTGGAAAACTTCTTAATTGCAACTCATTACTTATTTTTATTTCAGTCTAGACATACCATGTTAAACCTTCATACACAAACAATATATAGGTGTGTGAGCCTCTAGCACAGTGATACTCCAACTGAGACTCAGGAGCTGAAAGTTGCTCTTTAATATGTCTCCTGCAGCTCTTTGCAGCACATGATATTAAAACACTCTGATTTAATTATTAACCGGTCAGGATGCTTTTCCTATGTTGTTAACCAATTGTCAAATACTTGGTCAGTCATTTTGCTATGAGAATAATATATATATAAAAATAGTAAATGAAACAATGAATTCACACTACTGTGGCTCTTTTGGGTAATGTTGATCACTAGTTTGGCTCTTGAACCACTGAGGTCTGAGTATCATCTCCCCTCTAGCTACCACTAGAATAAAGAGGGCAGTGGAAAACTGATACATTTTATAATGTGCCTGATACCAGGCCTGAAGCTAACTCTGATTATAAGAAAGCAGCACTGAATGCAGTTCACTGCTTTAATCCTATTTCTTAAACTCTTATTATGCTTAAATCTATCAAGGTATAGTCAGGTTGGCTGGTTTATTGTTTAAAAATAGAAATCCTAAATATTCTAAATGTCACTTGACTAGTCATAATTGAAAATATTACACTGTCTGATGCCATTTATTGCAGTGCAAAAAGGGCTCAGTCCCTAAATCAAGGTGAGGCAAAGTCAAGAAAAATTGGAGAACTAGATTGTGGTGGTAGAGACAAACTCTGGAAGTCAAATAGTAGTTGTGATGAGGGTATTCAACTTGAGGTTCTAAAGAGGTAATATTTAATTTTGGTGTTAGTTTGTCAAGTTATTATAGTGGAACTGAAGTGTTCATGATCTTTTCAGGAGATTTTCTGGAAACAGAAAAATGGCAAAGTTGCTTCAAATTGTAGATAAGGTTTTTGTTTGTGATATTTAGGTCAACTAAAAGTTGCTGCCTAATTTTGACCAGATATTTATAACTTGCTGGCAATTTCCTTTTATTTATTTGTCAGAAACTTTACTTTAAGTAAAGGGAGACTTTTCACCTTGCTTTATATTTTAGTGTGTGTATTTGTATCTCTGTATCCCAAGGTGCAGTTTGAAAATGAAGTAACTATTGTGAAATTAATTCATGTTATGATTAAAAAAAAACACTTGTTTACATGGGTACTTTATCTAATATGATTTGTAATTAGTAGATGCCCGTTCCATGCTCTAGGTGCCCTTGTAATGCTAAATTTGCGTTCTTGTAAAATGTGTATATGATCAATATGCTGCTTAATTATCCCTGCATAAATAAGATCAGTAATAAATAGCTTAGGCTAAGACAAAACTCATCCCTTCAGATGTTATTCTCCCATGTCCAGGTGAAAAGATAGATCTTACAGTATGTTCAGAAGGCAAAGGGGAAAGCAAGTTCTAGAGCCAATGGGGTCTTCACTGCAAGTGTCTTGCCATTAGCTCCTCTCCATGTAGAAAGCTAGATCTCCATCTTGGCCACTGCCTCTGATTGCCACTGCAATTTGTGTGATATGGGGAGAGATGCAATGTTTTAAGTCCCGGTAGAATATTTGTATTGCAGTAGTGCCTCGGAGCCTCAGTCAAGGACCAGGACCCCATTGTGTTAGGCGCTGTACAAAGACAGAACAAAGATGGTGTCTGCTTAAAAGTAGCACAAATATATTTTTAGCACATTTAACCATTTAACTAGTGGCACAGAATTGGGCAGTAATCTGTCGAAGACAAGCAGCTGTTTTGTAGGCAGGATTTACCCATTTTATAACATTACTGTCTAATTCAGAACAGCATTGTGAAAGTGTTAGGCAAATGCTGGACAAATTGATCCAAATCTTTGTCTTAAAAAAACATTCTTTGCAGTTCTAATTTACTGTAATGGAAAATGTAAAGGGAAAGATTAAATATAGCCCAGTTCAAGACATTATATGCTCTGTAGAATTCTTATATTACTAGTTGAAATAAGAGTTTTGTTAGACCCAGAACTTTCTTTTGATTTGCAGTAGGATGGATAAAGGAAAATACACTTCACGTATTTTTAACCACTTTTCATGTTAGCACACCAAACCCATAAGAAAACGGTTGACAAAAATAGTTCTTTAATAATACTGTATGCCAACCAGCTGATTACAGACCAAAAGCTCAGGTGCTAGTTAAGTAGCAAATATGGGGGGGGGAAGGTATTCTTTTAGGTTGATTTGTGTTTATTTTAATTACTTCAAGCAAAAATACTCATGCCATGATTCCCCAGTAACTTACTGTTAGTTGGTGGTAAGAAGCTTTTGAACCAATCCTGTATGATGGACTGTTCTATTTTTAAATGGCTATTACATGTGTGATGCTGGTAAGCCAAGTGCCACCTCTGGCAAAGACCTAGGCATCAGCTGACAAACTCGTAGCTGGAAGCCAGGCCAGTTCACTCGTTTATTGGCATATAGATCAAAGTGATTGTTAAATATGTAAGAATGTATGTAGTGTTTAAACTTCATGAAAACTAATGGGATGTTACCAGCATGGTTTTCACTTATTTGTATCCTGTTACATACAATATAAATGTTTGCTATTACATTATATAACTAAATAACCCATCTAATGAGAAAGAAGCCTTGTGTAATGCAAATGAAGAACTTTAACAGGAAAGTGCTACTTCTTGAGCATTTGAAGGTCAGTGGACATTATATGTGATGATCAGAGAGCAAAGACTCGAAACGCATTCCTCTCTCTCCGCCATCGAAGAAAAAGTTTGGGTAGGCATCCTGTCAGCTTCTTTTCTGTGAGAAAATGCTGTACGTGTAGATATAAGGAAAAATTCTTCCTCTCTGGACTGTTTGGGTTGTAACAGGGCAGAATAACTGAATGAGAAGACTGATATCCCCAGAGTTTTCTGGGTAGTGTTGAGAGGCTTTTGGAAAAGTGACAGATTACTACATCTTCTCCATTTCAAAGTATAGACTCTGACTCACCGATACATACATTTTTACCTGTTTTAACCTCTCAACAACTCTCATTCCTTTCTCCTAGCTAATAAACCATTAGTTAGTTTACTGTAGAATTGGCTACCAACATTGTCTTTTGGTGTGAGATCTAGGTTGGAAATTGACCTGCATTTGTAACTGGTCTCTTGGGACTGGGTGCAATCTCAATATTTTATGATTTTTTTATAAGTGACCATTTATCACATAGTCCAGCTTGCCTGGGTGGCAAGATAGACCAGAGTGTCTAAGGGAACTGTCTGTGACTCCATGATAAGACTAATTTCACCAAGCCAGTAACAAATGTGAACTCCCAGATCACTATATCAATTATAGAACATTCCACCATTTTGGGGTGTCTGTCCTGCTTTTGACAGTCTGCCCTGAAGTAGGCACTTGTGGTCATGAGCCACTCCAGACAGTGTGACCATGTGGTATATAAATTCAGTGTTCTTTAGTATGAAATCTTTTAAATTCAGAGGAAACAATGTTAAAGAACATCATTACATTGAACGCTACCTAGCCTTTTATGTGATTCACCTATGGTGCTAATAGTGAAGGGAATAATGGAGAAAACTGAAATGTTTTTTGGTAAAGATCTTGAAAACCTTAGTAAACTCTAACCCCTTCAATATTTTTATCTGTTGGTAGTTTTCAGTGCTGGCTACTCAGGACAGGCAAAGCTCTTCCTGGTTGTATCCACAGTATACAGGTCAAGGCACCACATATTTAGAGCAAGGGTGCAGGAACAGGCTGGAGAGAGAAGAATGGAACCAAAGTAAGAATGGGAACTGGATTCTGGAGAAAACAGGACTATCGTTTCTTTCCTGGGTTTAGAAGGATGAGTCCTCAGTGTGTCCTTTGAACCCCAGATTCAGCAAAGCACTTGAGCCCCATTAAAGTCAATGGGACTTAAATACGTTGTTAGGTGCTTTTGCTGAGCTGGGGTCTTTTCCTGCCTACTCATCCTCACTTGTTATGCAGTTTGTTGCATCATGGCTTTTCTTAAAAGCTGTGCTTGTGTGTGTGTTTCAGAGGGGACTCTCCTGAACAA